ATAAATCTAATCTCTTCTTCTTCTTCTTCTACCTCACAGGGTGTCTGTTGTGGGGAGGGGAAGGGAGAGGAGTTTGTAAGCCGCTCTGAGGCTCCTTTGGGGAGTGAAGGGTGGGGTATAAATCCAATCTCTTACTCGCCCCCCCCCCCCGAGGTTCTCCGATAGTCCGCTTCCCTTTGCCCTGTTCTTTTCCACACGCCTGTTCCCCTCCCGATCTTTTCGGCGAGACTGCAGTCCAAGCATGTGAACGAGCCCTCGTGATGGGAAGACATACCCATTCAAGCGCCCCACCCGTATCGCGGCCCCTTCCTCCCAAGGGCCCTTGGGGGGCCGCCATCTTGCCCCCTTCTGCAACCAGAGGACTCCGTTTAAAAAAACAAAAATCACTACTTGCAAAAATTATAGGTGGGTAGTGATGCTCCCTCTAAGCCTATGGAGCAGAGGTCCATCAGAGGCTATTAGCCACAAGGTGTAGATAGGAAGTCTCAGGGATGCTCTGTCTTCTTAGTGCTGGGGGGGGGAGCAACAGTGGGGGGGCTTCTGGTGTCCTGGCCCCACTGCTGGACCTCCTGAGGGCGCCTGGTATTTTTGGCCACCATGTGACAGAGTGTTGGACTGGATGGGCCATTGCCCTGATCCAACATTGGTTTCTCTTATGTTCTTATAAGAGGGGATTGGATAAGCATATGGAGCAGAGGTCCATCAGTGGCTATCAGCCACAAAGTGTAGATAGGAACTCTCAGTTTGGGGCAAGTGATGCTCTGTCTTCTTGGTGCTTGGGGGGTGGGGGCAACAGTGGGAGGGCTTCTAGTGTCCTGGCCCCACTGCTGGACCTCCTGAGGGCACCGGGTATTTTTGGCCACTGTGTGACAGAGTGTTGGACTGGATGGGCCTTTGGCCTGATCCAGCACTGGCGTCTCTTATGTTCTTATGTAGTGAGCAAAAATTGTACTTTGTGAGCTACTGACATTAATGTTGTGAGCGAGCGATTTGGCTGCTGCATCGATTAGTTTGCTCCGGAGCCATCCCGCCTGAGCGGAAGACAAAAACGTTGTGAGCCGGAGGCTAAAAAACGGTGAGCTCTGCTCACACCAACTCAGCTTAGAGGGAACACTGGTGGGTCGCTATGCTGGTCCAAAGCAACGGAACAGAGTTTGAGTCCAGGGGCACCTTTAAGGCCAACGAAGTTTAATTCTGGGTATAAGCTTTCCTGTGCGCGTATACATCTTCAGATACGTGCGTGCACACAAAAGCTTATACCCCGAATTAAACTTTGTTGGTGCCACTGGACTGAAACAGCAATTACTGTTCCACCCCCAAACGCCCTCTAGTGGTGCAATGGGGGGAAAGCAGGGACCATGCCATGAGCTGGAAGAAAGGTTGTAGAAAACCCCCTTGCCAAGGCGCAGTATGCAGCAGGAACGAATACGGTCAGTTGGAATCCACTCCAAGACATCCCAGCTTTGTGACCTAACAGAGGCCGTTTTCGGAAAACTTCCTCCCTGCTTGGACGTCCTCCGTCCTTTAGGGACACAGGAAACTGCCCTATACCAAATCAGACTCTTGGTCTATCACGCTCGATACTGTCTACTGAGACCGGCAGAGGCTCTCCGGGGTCCCAGGCTTCGGTCTCCTGCATCACACATTCCACCTGGTGGAACGAGCTCCCGGAGGAGATCAAGGCCCTGTGGGACCTTGTACAGTTCCGCAGGGCCTGCAAGACGGAGCTCTTCCGCCAGGCTTTCGAGTAGGAGCCACCGCCACCACTATCCATCAACGCACTCTACCACCGCGGGTGCAGATATCATCGGGGGTGCGGGTCGTCCTTAGCGGATGACAGGGTTGTGGGGACATATATTGCTGTTGTGGTTCAGTTACAACATCTTTAGAACACCACCTTAGTTGTGTGATTCAGAGTGAGTATTTGGAGCACCGATTTTATTTTCACCAATTTTAATTAACTGTAGTACTCTGTATTATTGTATTTTATATCGTTTTATTGTTATAATCTGGCATTTTACGCCCTTGTTAGCCGCCCTGAGCCTTCGGGGAGGGCGGGATATAAATCCAAAGAATAAATAAAATAAATAAATAAAAAATCACTTGCGACCCGACCCTTAACTGGAGATCGAACCTAGGACCCTCTGCAGGCCAGAAGCTCCGTCACTGAGCGATGGTAACTCCTTTCCTTAACTGAATACATTCCCATGACTTGGAAAGTCCCTCGTCTTCCACAGATCAGGGAGTTCCCGAATCCTGGGAACATGCAGTTACTGTATTTGAGAAAAACAAAGTTGGGAGTCCAGCGGCACCTTTAAGACCAACAAAGTTCTAGTCGAAGTGTGTAAAGTTTCGTGTGCCTGCACACTTCTTCAGATCGGAAGTGGGCGTGCACACGAAAGCAGATACCCAGAATTAAGCTTTGTTGGTCTTAAAGGCACTGCTGGACTCAAACTTCGTTCTGTTGTTTCAGACCAACACGGCGACCCACCTGAATCTATCTGTCTTTGCTTTTGGGACCGGCACAGCCCAGGGACTGGGGGAAGAGCCCTTTCTCTCACCTCTAGAATCCAGCCTTGCCTCTCAGGAAGAATTTAGGACTCCCGGCAGTTAACAAATGCACGAACTGGAAACGGTGCAATCAGAGCCATTCACTAGGGAGGATGTCCCGTGAACTCTGACCCGGAGGGACCAGGCGAATGCGATCTCATATGCCCAGAGAGGTCAGAGAAGAACAGAAGAGAAGAGATTGGATTTATACCCCGCCCTTCACTCCCCAAAGGTGTCTCAGAGCAGCTTACAAACTCCCTTCCCTCCCCCTCCCCACAACAGATGCCCTGTGAGGCAGGTGGGGCTGAGAGAGCTCTGACAGAAACGGCTCTTTCTCAAGAACAGCTCTGACAGAACTACGGCTTGCCCAAGGTCATCCAGCAGCTGCAAGTGGAGGAGTGGGGAATCAAACCCGGTTCTCCCAGATTCGAGTCCGCGCACTCAACCACCACACCAAACTGGCTCTCTAATTTGGTTTTAACCTGCCCTGAGCCCAATAAATATATTTATCTATGTATTTATTTTCGATGTATAACCTGCCTTTCCTGCACAGGCAGGCTCAAGGTGGCATGCTTTTCACTTTGGAAGAAGCTTTGAGCTCACTAAGAGAGACGTTTTGCAGCGTTCAGACACTGAAACGGGAGGCTATCTGGACATCTGTTGGAGGAAGACTGAGCACTTATTCAAAATAAAGGAGTCCTCCCTCTTAAAACTTTTGTATGATTAAGGAGGACTGATATTAATAAAGGGGTTGTGCAATATCTTTTGAGAAATAATAAGAGACGATACTTAGATGTTTTGATATATGAGTCCTATGTATTAAGGCTTATATGATAAATAATATATGGTGACTGAATTGTAAAAATATAAAACAAAAATATATTAAACTTATTTGAGATAGTTTACAATCGTCTGCAGCACGGTATTTGCTGATTTTTGGTATTCCCTACTTACCGTGGGTCCTATTTTGGTTTTGTGAATCAAGGTGGCGTGCAACAGGTTAAAATGCAATAAAACACAGATGCATATGTGCAGTACTATAAAATTCACAGAGCAAACAACATACATACAAGTGCAGATGGCGATTGCTGTATGGTGGTCCGGTGTGGCTAAACCAGTATCCATAGCTGTTCTTAGTGCCACTAACAAAAGGGCCGCCCGTGACAGTTCAGTTTTTAACAGCTCATTCCTCAGTGGCGGCTCCTAATCGAAGGCCTGGTGGAAGAGCACCGTCTCGCAGGCCCTGCGGAACTGTAAGAGGTCCCGCAGGGCCCTGATGTCTTCCGGGAGCTCATTCCACCAGTGTGGAGCCGCCACTGAAAAGGCCCTGGCCCTGGGAGAGGCCAATCTGGCGTCTTTTGGACCAGGGAGAGTCAGGCGATTTTGCGACCCTGACCTCAGTGTTCTCTGGGGGATGTATGGGGAAAGGCCTTACGGGATCTCCGGAAGTCAGTTGTGGCCTGATGGCGCCACCGCCAAGCCCAGTGAACCGAACGGGACTTCTTTCTGAGCAAATCCACGTAGGACAACGCCACAGGGTCGGGCCGCGAGAGGCCAGAGGTCCATCTGTGGTGGCAGGCGGGCCAAACCCGCCCCCTCCCAAAGGGACTCGTCTTCGAGATCTGGAGCGCCGGATTGCGGTCTCTCTCAGGTGGACAGGCCACAAATCCCTTTTCCTCCCCTGCTTCCTGGTCTGAGCGTGGCCAGCTCAACAGGGAAAAGTCAGAAACTGCTCCAAACTTACCAGTCCCCCCCCCAGCTCTTTCCTGCCCCTGCCGGGAGTTGCAATTCCGGCTTGAGCAGGGAAAAGCAGAAAGGCCTTCTCCTCCGCCCGGGCTTTCCTCCCCCCTTCCCCCAAAAGTACCAACCTTGGCTTACATCTGGAGCACCATCAGAACTGCCTGCTAGAAGCGGCTCTGAGAACCCCGTCCATCCGTTCCAAGCCGGCATGGAATGGCCTGGATCCCTCCCAGAGGGTAATCCTCCACCGTTTCATACATCTAGAAAATCATGAGTTAAGGAGAAGGTTTACCCTCAGGAGGTGGGATGCCCTCCCTTCAGCGGCTACAGAGGGGAGGTTTAATAATAAAAAAAACCCCTTGCTGATCGTATATGTTCCTGCTGCAATGACGGAATCGAAACTTTAAAGCATGTTATAGATGACTGCAGGGCATATGGCCACTTTTGTGATATTCTCCCACTCTCTGCAACTACTCTATCCCCAACTAGTCAAAAGATGCAATTGCTGAAGAACCGCCTAGAAAGTAGGTGCCCCAAGGTTACAGCTAAACTTGCCAGATTTGGGTGGTTAGCTGTAAGGACTAGAAAGCTCCTAACGAAAGACGAATAGGTGTGATTTGTTGCAGGACTTAACGGGTTTTACATGCATGAGCTATTTGATATTCATTTTATATATTTCATTTATGCTTGTGGCTGTATGAATTTAGTTTGCATTAGTTTGTTGTATTTAAGATCATGGCATCCGGCCCCACCACTCCTTGGCAAATAGAAGGGGAAGTCGTGGAAGTAGTGACAGACTTCACGTTCCTGGGGTCCCAGATCACCGCAGACTGTGACAGCAGCCATGAAATTAAAAGACGCCTGCTCCTTGGGAGGAAAGCGATGGCGAACCTAAACAGCATGATAAGAAGTAGAGACATCACCCTGCCAGCAAAAGTCCACATAGTCAAAGCCATGGTATTCCCAGTAGTCATGTATGGCTGCGAGAGTTGGACTATAAGGAAGGCCGAGCGCCGAAGAATAGATCCCTTTGAACTATGGTGCTGG